GGTGGCCGTTTACCAGGACTCTGCACCTTCATTATCTACTGTTCAAAAGTGGTCCAGTGAATTTAAAAGGGGCAGAGAAAGCACTGAAGATTACCCTCGCTCGGACGGGCCGGTTACTGCCACTACGAAAGAAAATGTGAAAAAAATTGAGCAACTTGTGTTGGAAGATGCCCGAATAAAAATCAAAATGTTAGCAGAGATGACAAACCTATCCGTTGGTACCATATTTACTATTTTTCATGACCATCTTAACCTTCCAAAGGTCTGTGCAAGATGGGTGCCATGAATGCTCTTGGCGCCTCAGAAACAAGTGCGAGTCAAGTGCTGTCGGGAGATTTTAGAGCTCTGTGGGGAAGATCCATCGAGTACTTTCAACCGGATTGTTAGTGGAGATGAAACTTGGGTTCATCACTATGACCCTGAAAGTAAGCAGGAGTCCATGCAGTGGCATAAAAAAGGTGCTGACCCTCTGAAGAAATTCAAAGTTACTCCATCAGCCAGAAAAATCATGGCCACAGTGTTTTGGGACTCAAAGGGAATTTTATTGATCGAGTACATGAAAAAAGGTGAAACCATAAACGCAGCATCTTACGCAACCACTCTGCGTAATTTAAGAGAAGCAATTAAAGAAAAAAGGTGGGGAAAACCGACTGCAGGTGTGTTGCTTCTTCACGACAATGTGCCCGTTCACATGGCGCATGTTTCGAAGGCTGCTGTGCAAGACTGTGGTTTCGAAGAAATAAACCACCCACCCTATAGCCCAGACCTGGCCCCCAGAGACTACTACCTATTCCCGAATTTAAAAAAAAGATCTTCATGGAAAGCAATTTTCCGACGATGAAGAGCTCAAGGCGGCAATTAATGCACATTTTTTAGACAAGGAGGCAGGGCATTTTTTACAGAGAATTGAAAAGTTAATTTCTAGATGTAGTAAGTGTATTGAAGTTATGGGGAATTACATTGAAAAATAAAAATTATTTCAATTTATTATTCCTTTTTCTTCATGCTGATACCGAGAATACATTGAACGCCCCTTGTAGATAATCAGTCTCATTCAAGAGGCGGTAGAGCTGGTTGTCCAGGGCCCTTGCTCTGGAAGGAACATTTGCCACCAGCCTAAAATTATTAAGAACTTCTGGGTCCAGAGAAGGATTCTTCAGGAATGGTCTCCCTACCACCTCTTTAAGGCAGCATGGTACAACTCCCTGTTGTAAAGAGGCACTGATCACCTCCATGGCCCAATGCCTGTTCCACCCCCGCTAGCTTTTATAAGCCAAGAGGGGCAAGGGTCCAATGTGGCTGGGTAAACCTGTCCAAGCAAGTTTTGAAGTCTACATGAAGGCTGAAGGTGCCAAATCCAGAATTGTCTTTAAGCCTTGGATTACTTCCAAGATGGTCTCAGAACTGCCCTGGGATAATATTCCACTCCACTCATGTTTCAGATTAGACCATGGGTCCTCAAGCTACCGCCTGTGGGCTGGATTTGGCCCGCCATGCCCATTTATCCGGCCCGCCTCAGGGGTTTTGGACTCACCACGCCCATGCTCACCACCACCTGCCTCGCTTGCGCAGACATTTTGGACTCGCTCAAAGAAAACGATCTCTGAGTGAGCAAGCCCCCACCTCGCCGTGCACGCCTGCCCCCTCACTGGCCCGCACATGCCGCCAGCACCACCTTGCCAGCCCACGCCCACTGCCAGCACCTTTCAACTGGCCCCCTGTTGCAAAAGTTTTAGGACCCCTGGATTAGACCCTCTGCAGCTCACCACCACAGTGTGAAGTGATTCCCTACCATAATGTGAAGTTATGTGGAGAGTCTATCAAGATCACTAGGGCTTAGTATGCTCTTGGTGAGGATCACTTGAAGATGTGCAAAGTTCATAGGACCCACATATTTGGAACTGATGCTTTGAAGCAAAACTGAATGTCCAGCAGATTCTGCTAAATTCAAATGACTTTATAGATACTGAACAGGACAGAAGGAAGTATGGGGCTGTTGCAACCATTGCTGTTCTAAGAAGGAAAAGATTTCCACCTCATCTGATAATGGCAGTCAAGAATATGTGCAAGTCATGAATGCACAACCTTTGCACCCCAAAGGTTCCATCTGTCAGATGCAAGCTTTTACACACACAAACACACACACACACACACACTAAAAGGGGATGGCACACAACCTCTCCCATCCCCCATCACCCCCCCCCCCCACACTTTTTAAAAAAGCTACTCTGAGCCACTCTCACAAGGGTCTAGGGTTCCTGCCATAGAAATCCTGTTACTAGACTAGTGATGGGCAACTCATGGCCCTTCAAATGTTTTGGCCTGCAACTCAAGCCATCCCTTGCCACTGGCTGTGGTGGCTAGGGCTATCAGGAGTTGTAAGCCAAACATCTGAAAGCCCAAAAATTCTTTACTCATTGGAGCATTTTAGTTCTCCATGAGTGAAGGAAGGCAGTCTCCTTACCCAGTCATGGAAACATGGCTTCACCAATGCTGGCTGGCCTCCTGCAGTTGGAGGGAAAAGATACAGCGCAGTACCAGAGGTGGGGGTCTTATTCACTCTCGGCTACTCCCTGGCACAGCTTTTTGAACTTAGTCCCCTCACACCTGCCCAGCATTATCTAGTTTTATTCAAAACTATTTTTTTAGGTCATGTCCTACTTGTTCTCGCCCTGCATATGACAAATGAGCTATGCAGGTGTGCAAAAATTAGCATCAGGCTCCACACTTAATTTCAATTTTCATTTGCAAAAAAAAGCCAAGCTTTTAGGCTTTAAGTGTGAATGTGCGTGACCATGCCAAATGAAATTCAAATACTCAGGAGTATCTCGGGAGTGGTAAAATGGGAGGACTTCTGCATGCTGGATAGCTCTTTGACCCTCAAGATGAGCAGAAGAAAGTAATGTGCAAAATATGCAAATATATGCAAAGTTCATGATTTGTGTAATTTTGATAAGTAGAAAAACTCAGGTAGTCTTGGCGCATCCATGAACGGGGAAATTGGCTTGCTCTGTCTGGTTCTGTACTGTCAGTGCTGGTTGGCAGCTGAGCTTAAGGTCTCAAGCAAAGATGGGTTGACACCTGGCCCCCTGTTCTTTTTAATGGAGGTGCTGGGTACTGAACTTGGGACCTTCCCCAAGGAAGCAGGATGCACTGCCACAGAGCTGCAGCACCTTTTAATTTAATACATTCCTAAGAAATGGTAACCACTGAAGTCAAGAGAGGGAAGCAAGGTGCCCAGCTCTGGAGTAACAGAAAACCTGCTTGGCCATCTCTGCACATTTTCTCTATTCTCCTCAGCATCTTTCTACAAACTCTGAAGAAGCGAAGCGAAGCGAAGAGAAGAGGTCTGACACACTGGAGATGCTAGATTTTGGTACATTAGGATGTAACCACAGAAATGCAGGATCCAACGGTCTGAGCTAGCATGCCTAAGGGCAAGGATAGGCAACCCACAGTGCCCCTTTCAGCTCTATAAAGAACCGTCAAAGGACAGGACAAATGTGCTATAGTCAAATGTATAGCACAGCAGGTGGAACAACCTTCACATGGTGAAATCGTTAAACACACAGCGGAAGTCAACCATGTGCTGTGTGTTTATATTAAATGAGGGAAGGAAACCATGCCTCAGCTGGTGTGATGGAAAGTAGACAGAAAGCTTAATCATACAGAATGAAGCATAGAAAAGCCTTAAGTTGTAACAGATGGAAAAGACCAGTCACTGTCCTGTGATCCTTTGGAGAACAAGATGGCTGGTAACACAGCACTCAGCCTGCTCTGCCTGGTACATTGGTTAAAAACAAAAGAAAACAAAAAAATCACAAAAGGTTTACACTGTGCTCATTTTATTCCTGAGCAAAGCTCCTAGCATGCATGGACAATCCACTTAAAAAGCATCCCTCTCTTTCAGTCTTAAAAGCAGATGAATTCACAGCAAGAGCTCACGATCTAGAGAAGAGCCGTTCAGCAGAGTACATGTAATGCAACAACTTAGTGCACTGCTGTTTAGTTTTATCATTGCCAGCCAAACGGGAAAGAGCTGGATATTGCAGACATACACCTCTCAAGGTGTTAAGCCCCTGACAGGCATCTGACAGGTAAGTTTAGCCATCTGCAGTTCAAGAGAACTTGCTGCTAACCGTTTGGGTCAAAGAGAATGAGTGCACTCCCCTATGTGAGAGAAGGGAATGCTAGCACAGTTGCTGTAACAGAGGCAATAAGTGGGAAGATGCAGACCAAGGAGGGGGCACCATCTAATGAAAGCAGCAGCTCCCAGCGATATGGAGAACTTGATGAATGAGTTCTCTTCCCGACATAGCATAAGGCAAGGCAGCCACACCTAATCCAGATAGTTTATACTACAGCTCCCATCATCCCTGACCACTAGCCATGCTGGGTGGGGGACATGGAACTTGTAGTCAAAAATACCTTGAAGGCGTCAGGTTTGGGAAGGCTGGTGTAAAGTGATCTTAGGACACCCAGGAGCTAATTATTGGACTAGAGCTGCATCCTTCAAGGCTGCTGAAGGAAGATAAAGGCAGGGAGGGACTTACATATTCAACAAGCAGCTCCTTTCTCTGCAGTGCTACTGTCAACATCACATCAACTGTCCATAATGTGCCATCTGACCAGCATCGTGCAATGGTGTCTACTAGCCACAATCCTACTAGTCTACCATGGGTGCTGGGGCTTAGCACAGAGCTATTTCCAAAGAGTGTGAACCCCTTTGTAAAGGAGAAGCCAAGGTCTCTGGCCTTACCTACAAAATGAGAGAGATGCAGAGTGCCATCGCTGATTTTTGTTGCTGGGGGACACACTGCACTCCAAAGTATGCACAACTGGCATTGCTTCTCAAATACCTCCTTCTAGCTGCTACTCAGCAAGTGTTGACAGAAAAGAAACATTGGGGAGAGGAAGAAGATGCTCCTTTTCACACTCCTCACCCACCCACCTCAGAAAGCAGTAAGAATGAGGCCAAGTAAAACCCTTGCTTGACTCACCCCTTCCAAAAGTACCCAGGTCTCCCCCTGCCTTGGCCGAGCTGCAGTCACTGAATTGTGATGCTAAGGATTCAAAGTCTTCCTCACCAGATTTAATCTTCTGGATGTAGCCTGTGGATGACAGAGAATAATTCTAAGGTTAGTGAGAGGAAGCTGAAAACTGGAAAGCCATAGACAGACAGAGGACATTTTCAGCTATGCACATACCTAAGGCAACTTATATGTCACTGAGACACTTAGCTGATGTCAGCTATACCACTTCAGCCTGCTGGGAAAGATTCCTTTCTCCCATACCACACAAATCCATCCTCATAGAAAACTAGATGTCAGAGAGTCTTGTAACTAAGACTTCTAACACGCTAGTTCTCGATATGTAGGGTTTATTTTTCCCTAAGGGAAAGGAGTGTGGGCTGCCTGTGCAAATTAGAACCTGAGAAGATGAGGATTCTAAGGCATGCAGGAAACCTATTTGAATAGAAAGGTTTCCCTTGCTGCCAAAGTTTAGTCCCAACACATGAAGGCTGCAGGAAATGTGATGGAGTCCTAAGGGAGAGATGCAGCCAATGAACTTACAGAAACAAAGACTCAAAGGGGACTCCCAGGTCCTCTAGTCTGCCCCTGGCTCCAGCTGGCTCTGCTCATGTAATCCCCAACATCACCATCATATGAAGGTAATTCATATGAAGCCTAGACTTCTGTAACACGCTTTACGTGGGGCTTCCCCTGAAGACGGTCCGAACACTTCAATTGGTGCAAAATAGAGCTGCCAGGTTGCTGACGGGGATGGGGCGTTATGCTCACATGACGCCAGTCCTCCGTCAGCTTCACTGGCTTCCCATTGAAGCCCGGGCCCAATTCAAGGTGTTGGTTATGACCTATAAAGCCCTAAACGGCTTGGGTCCTGGCTACCTGAACGAGCGCTTATGTCCATATATGCCCGACCGCCCTTTGAGATCTGCGGGAGTCCCTTCTCCGGGAACCCTCCATGAAAGAAATTAGGAGAGTAAGTACTCGGAGGAGGGCTTTCTCTGCAGTGGCACCCAACCTATGGAATTCACTCCCCAAAGAGGTCCGCCTGGCACCGTCGTTACTGGTTTTTCGGCGCCAGGTAAAGACCTTTTTATTTAAACATCATTTTAATTGTTAAAAAATATGATCTGGCCAGGGCAACTTCCTCTTCCTTCTCTTTCCTCCTCCTATATTCTTTATTTACTTATTTTATACTGTTAATTTTAATTTTATATTATTGTATCTCAGTGCATTTTTTGTATTTCTGTATTTATTGGTAATTTATTATGTTCTATTGTATTTCAATGTATCTTATTGTGTTGTAAGCCGCCCCGAGGCTTCGGCAAGGGGCGGCATAGAAATGTAATAACAACAACAACAACAACAACAACAACTGCATGGACGATGTTTTAATGGGATTTTAAAACATTTAAAAATAGGATTTTAGGCAGCATATAAATGTTTTAAACAAACAAACACTGGTGCTTTCCAGTTAAAGTAGGCACTGCTGATTGGGTTGTACATGTACGAAATGAGTTTGGGCAGTTTGTCATGCTTTAAGTTGCTTTTAGATTACATTTGGTATGATTTGCATTGATAAGATCCCTTTTTGAGTTTGATCTCCTCTGGTGTTTTCACTCAGTTTTGCTCATGCTTTCTGCTGCTTTCTGCTACTTTTAGATTTTCTTTGTATCAGCAAGGAACTTGCTGCTTTGGGTCTTATCCATGTCCATTTTCCATTTTTCCTCCCTGTGAACTGCACTGGAAAAGCAGTTTTCTCGCAGAATGAAGAGTAGTTTTTCAAGAAACTACTCAAGAATCTCTCCATTGTCTGTGCTGTTTTCTGGACAGTATGGTGCTCATGCATTGTACCAAAATTTATCTCACCCATTGGAAAGATTCTCTCTTACCCCATGATCCCATTTACTAACAAGGGAGAGAGATGGCTGCTTTATTCATTACCATGCCCTCCTTTAATTTCTCCACTATGGGTTCCAGCAGGGCCATCAACCACAATGGTCTGGGAGAGGTTGTGCCCATTCCTAAAATCGTCTTGACAATCATAAACACTCCAATGTTATGTACTCTTTTTTGCTGTCAGCCAAGTCTAGCAACTGCAAGGGCTTCAACCCTGCCCTGACTTTACTTCAGATTAAAATGATGAGGGTGTGAGATTGGCAGGCTGCTGTGGTGTAGGCATGCTGCTCATCAGAAGCACCACCACATACTTTGGGTTATGGTGCAAATAATGAAGAATTGAGGCCCTGGTTTACTGCTAAGCTGCATATTTTGACCTACCTTTCACTCACCAAGGACTTAGGAGAGTTGAGAAGACTGGTATGGTGGAGAGAGGTGGTGGCATTTGTACACACAAGCAATGAAGGTAAGGAAAGACTAGCTGTTACTGGGCTAAATTATTGGTGTGCCTGATGCTGGTATTCTGGTTGTAGTATCATAAGACAGAAATCACACTAGAATCATGCTGGCCTTGTCTGGACAGAGTGTCTTCCCAGAAAAGGTTGTCAAATCTACAAAGAAAAGTTCCTCTGGAGACTTCATATTTTTCTGGTATGTATAGGCTTGTTTCTAATTAAACCCCAGGATGCATGATAAAACTAATTTGTCCTGTGGTAAACACCTAAATAGGGCTTCAGGCTTGTAAACAGAGCCTTAGGGAAAGTAAAAAAGAAAAAGCCATAAACCATTTTTCTTTTACATTCATGTATATTTACGTCAGCCACATTTAGGAATTCAGTTCAACACCCCACCACCCACAAAAAAAAAAAAAACCAAACCCTTCTGTGCCTGGTTGCCTGCAACAAATTCTTACTCAGCTCAACTGACCAGGTAAGTGGCTATTTACAATCCTGAATAAACGCCATGAAAATCTTAAACACCCAGAAGCCATTTGACAACTTCCAACTCTCACAGTGGTGTTTAATAATAAAAAAGCAATACCAGAGTTAAACTTCTCTAAACAAAAACGTGAAAGGCAATGATGATATGCCTGTCAAACTGATGCTCCCCAAGGGATGTATTTAAATAATTCTGGGCTATAATTATGTTCATCAGGTACGGTACGTCTGTTCATAGAAATTCAATGAGACTCAGCTGTTTGATGTAGCTAAGGTGGGCATTCATGCAATAAATTCTTTAGTGGAATTTTTGTTGTTGATGATGCTCTTAATTTCACCTGCTCATTTTTAGGGAGATAATAACAGACTGCTTTCTCCAAGTCAACAGTATCAATCTTTTTTTTTTTTTTTGTTATACCCTTATTGAGCCAAAGTGCACACTGCCAGTTTTAAATAATTAGATGCAAGCGCCTATGACCTTTACAGCAAATGGTGTTTATCAAGGACAGATGGAGGTGCTGACAGAAAATAGATTCCCCCTCCTCCACCCTTCCTGAGCATGGCATTTCATACCTGGGAGAATAAAAAACAAAACAAAAAGCCCAATGATAATAAAAGTGACGAATGAATGAATTCCTAACAGGTTTTATCAACCCCACAGCAGGATAGTTAGATGAAATAAGTTTTAATCACACCTTTCCCTCTGTCCTTAAGGTGACACAGAAGATTGCTCTAACACAAAAAATTATCCGATAGCAAAAGGACTTGTGTCTCTGAGGCTATCAAACCGGTAGTTTAATACATTTTAAACATCACTTGAATATAAGAATTACATCTGGATCTCATACAAAACAAGATTAAAATGTCTCTTGCTATAAGCTTATCAGATGATGGAGACCTTCCATTACTGCACCTAGCGATACCTTTTCATTTACTTGGTCTTCTATCTAGGAAAGATAACATACAGAGAAAACCTGATATCGGAACTTCTAATTGAAGATGTAGTTCTGGGACATCAGTTGGCAGATAAGCATTCTCGTGGTCTGCATTCACATTAAACTTTTAAACCACCTCAAGATACCAAGGTTTTCACAGTATGAAAGGAAACCATGATAAAATGTTCTTCCTGTATGGCAGACCACCATTTTCTATACTCAGGCATATGGTAGCTGCAAAGAGCCTGGGCATATTTTAGATATTATTTGGGCTTTCTGATCTTTTTGGTTGCCATGTTGGCCATTTTAAACATTAAATTCCATTGTCTTTGTCTAAGGGTAGCGTCTGTGGAATCCCATCTCTAACTTAGAAAGTAAAATGTAGTTTCCACTCTGTCCTTTATTACAACAAACACAAAAAACTAGAAAGCATCCATCAGCACAACTGCCAAAAAGAGAGTCTATAGCCCAAGATGTTGATAGGTTAATACTGAGGCCAATGCTTTTCAGATGAAAAGATCTTCAGGGGCTATTTACAGATAACTGATTTCATTAACACTTTTTTGATCTATGGCACTTGTGCAAGATCATTTGGCTCAACCAAAATCCATAGCCATAAAGCAATCTAATGCCCTTGGTGCTCAATGCACACAACTCCCTGAACTGGGAAGAATTCATGCATCCAATGCAGAGCACAAGTTGTATTCCTTCCACCCTGCACTTCATCTAGATTGCCATTTCTCTCCATCTACATAAAGCACTGTTGTATTGAGGAGGAAGGAAGGAAACTGGGGCACCATTCAAATAAGGTGTAAACTGTTGTCCCAGCCTCCTTCCCTCCTCCCATTATGGTTTTTTTTCTTCCTCTTGAAGGCCTATTTCATACCTCAGAGAGGCAGTCAGAGTGGTTCTTCCTATGCCAGATGCAAGCAGGGATGGGGCAGGGATGAAGCATCTGAAGTCCCAGCTCTGAGGTCACAGGACCCTAGAGCTCAGGCTCCAAGCAGTCTATTAGCTTCCCATGCAATGTCAGGAGTTCACAGATTTGCTCCTTAAATCAGTGAAGCATCTCATATAACTAACCTAGAAAAAATAGCAGATTTTGAACAAGTTTTCAACACATTAGCAATATATACATATTTATAGCCTAAAAATGCTTGCAGAGATCTCTGCAAAGATGGCTCAAATGTAGCAGCAACAGTAACTTATGAAGAGAAAGCAAAAAAAAAAAAAAAGTTGGATCCGATCATTCTTAATTGACTCTTTCAATCACCCCAGCCATATGCCTGTTATATTATGTTCTTTCTCCATA